TTTCAATTAATTGGTAACTCTATGTGACACTAATTAACATAATCGATGTTCATATGTGATCAATTATATTGATTAATCAAGGTAATCACCCAGCTTTAGTAAACTTGTAGAGTGGAAAAGATGCTTAAGAAATGGGGTAAATAAACAAATTGGTAGGATAGCCAAGGCAAAGAGGAGACTGGAAATAGGCAATCTAGAACATATCAAATTAAATAATATTTTTAAAGATAAGTTTGTCAAATTTAAAGCTAAACATAGCAGATTCAAGAAATAGTTTAGCTACTATTATTCTAATTCTAAGAGTTTTAGAAACAAAATGAATGAGTTTATTGTTTTATATGAAATGGAAATTAAAATTAAATAATAGGTTGAACAATCGCCAAGTTTTTATATATTTTTATTTAAAGAAGGATGACATTTCGAGCTAGTTCTCTTTGTCAGATTGTACAGTTTTAATTACATTTGTCTAGATAAAATGGAAGATTATGATTTAATGGGAATTACTGAAACTTGGTTAGATTTGGAGAATAATGATAATAGGAATTATTTGAAAATTACAGGTTATAAGTTATTTAAATAGGCTTTTCAAAAGATGTGATGACATGGCTGTTTATAAGGGATAAACTGCAGCCTGGTGGGACTGAACAGGAAAAAAAAAGGTAATAAAGAGGTATAGTCTGTAGAGGATTATAATCAGGGATTTCAAGAGTAGAAAGTTTTTTTTTTTTTCATTGTCAACTGTTATAGACCACCTGATCACTTGATATTAATGAGAAACTAATTCTGATACAATAATTATATATTATTTAGGGGGATGAGGTTTGATATCGTTATATAGTAAAATAAATAATAAAGATAAGTGAATTTCTCAAAGCAATTATCATACATCTGTGAGCAAAACATTTTAGGTTATTTTTATGTGAATATTTATTGAACTTTATGATAAATGCTTTTGAGGTTTTGTTTTATGTTAGAAATAAAATATCTGATTATTCCCCATAATATAAAAGTTTATTAAAATTATTTAAAATTATGAAATTTCAAGGCCATTCAGAGTTGGATAATACAATCACACACATAAATACATTTTCTAAAAGAGGAACAAAACTCTGATATAGTAGAATAGATAGATAGCAAAATAAAAGTGTAGACTGAGATAAAAGACAGCAAAATTTAGAAATAAATTTAAACTTTTGTTAGCAAAGGATACAGTATCTAAAGATATTTTCAGGAAGATAGAAGCAGTATTAGAGTTAGCAGTAGTTAATTTAACTGTAATAAGCAGGTTCTATTAAGTAACAGATTTCAGTCTTTAGCTTGTGAACTTGAGGACCTATGAGATGAAGAAAAACAAAGTGGGCAGATAGTGATTCTTTGGTACTATATATGGATATAATAGTCTGTAGGGTAGCAGGAAGAAAATAATTATATTATGCAATCCAGGGACAGGGGTGTAGAGCATAACTGATAAAGCAAGTGATATAGAAAGGGTGCTAGCAATGATTCAATCTTTGTTTTGCATATAAGGTTTATGATGCAGAGAAGGGTGACCGAAGGAACTAGTTAATAAGTACAGTTTGACTCTGTCATACATACTGCCATGATTTAAGTGTGGAGATGAGATTCTAAGTAAGTCACTACGACCAAATTCTAGGCTTAGGTTAATATGTAAGGACAAACAGGTTGGCTGGTTGGACTTGTAAAATCAGACTGATGGGAATGAGATTTTTGAATTTATGGCTTACATTTAAGTAGGGTAGGAGTTGGCTTGTTTGCAAGGACTATTAACTCAGCTGTAAGAGCATCCTTAACCTAAGACTAAACAGGGTGCAGAAAATGAGTTGGTTACAAATCTCAAAAAATCAATTTTTAAGAGTTGCAAGAATAATTATCTATTGGGAATTTGGGAACTGCATTAATTGAAAATACCAATCAAATGTGGATTTTTTTTAGAAATAATTTTTTGAATATTCAAGATAGGCAAAGAAAAAAGAGTGGCTGCAAGTAAAAGACCAGGTTAATTCACAAACAGTATAAAGAATAAAACAAAATAATTATAAATTTAAGAAGTTTACATTGATTTTTATGATGGGGGACTTAAAGGATTATATATATATAGAAGATCAAGAGAGTTACTCAAACAGGACATTAGGCAATGAAAAAGAGTATGTGAAGAAATTTGGCTGAAAATGTGAAAGTTAACATAAACAATTTCTTAAAGTACAATAAGCAAACAAAATGTTAGTATGAGAATAAGGCCTTTAAGATGATAAAGTAAGACTAATTTCTATTGATTATGAAGGAGCTAGATTTCTATATTTTTCTTTTTCATCAGTTTTTACTACTGAATATTTAAGGAATATTCTTCATCCTAAAAAGACAGAAACATGACTGGACAAAATTAATTATGAGCCTGTTAAGAAAAAATTGTGAAGTTTAAGGAATGATATGGCTCATGGACCACAAAAATAAGTCTCCAAGGGTTTTGCAGGAGATTAAGTATTGGACATATAAGACACTTGCTAGTGTTTTTTCTAATTTCTTGAATATTGGGCAGATGCCAGAAGATTGGAAGTTGGCTAATGTTACTCCACTTTTTAAGAGAGGAGATTAAAAATTGTCCAAGTAGTTATATGCATATTAATCTTACATCAGTGGTTGGAAAAGATTTTTAAAGTTCTGATAAGAGATGTTTTGCAAAGTGTTTTAACAAAGTGTAAAACTGTTTTGGATATTCACATGATTTCATTAGGTTAAAAATTTAAAACAACCCTTTTAACATTTTTTAAAGAGATTACTGGTTATTTGGATGAGAGCAATAGTATTGATTAGCTGTATGTGAATTTTATAAAGCATTTTTTGAGGTGTCATACAAGATGCTTATTAAAGAATCGTTACTGTAGATGTGGGGATAAATTAGTTCATTGGATTGAACAATGACTAGATGGAAGACAGCATGGAGTTTTTATAAATATAATTCAGTCAAACCAAATTGATGGTACAAGTGAGGTACCACAGAATTCAGCATTAGGAACATTGCTCTTTTTGACTTACTTCAATGACATAGATGAAGGAATGGTAAATAAATTCTTAAATTTGCTGATGATGTTAAGGTTCTTGGATGTTGCTGCTTTACAAAAGGATTTAGAATATTTGGTATGTTTGGTGAATAAATGGCAGATGGCTTTTAATTATAATAAGTGCAAAGTAATGCATGTGGTTATCATAATTTGAATTATGAGTATAATTTAATGGGAATAACCTAAACAGTGTTATGGAAGAAAAGGATCTTGGTGTTTCTGAAGTCATACAAACAGTGTGATGTTGCTAGTAGTAAGGCAAATAAGATTTGGGGTTTTATTTACATAAATATTGATAGGTTATAGTTTCATTGTATAGATCAATGGTTAGGCATCATTTAGAGTATTGTGTTCAATCTTGGGCTCTTTACCTTATCCCTTTGAACTCGGTGAACCTCTAAACCCCTTTCTGTGCATTTCATGAGATTTTACTGAGTTAAATTCAAAATTGAATTAAATCACTTTTCTATAAACTTATGTTAATGAAATTACTATTATCAAGTATGTTATAAATTAAGGTTTCATATTGACACTTTGAAGTTGAATGGCATGTTTATAACCAATAGAAAGAGCAGATTTTGCACTATTCAGTTATAGCCTAAAGAAACCTCTAGCTGTGTATGGATCTGTAGTATGAAATATAAAATAAGCTTAGTCCATTGTTCTCTTGAGGGGTATGTAATATTTGGCAAGTGTTTCTCACCTTATATGTATTAGTTTGCTAAACAGTTAGATTGCATTTAGGTTTCACATTTATATCTTAATTAATTATGTATTTATTTGTGTTTTAAAATGCAAATTTGAAATATTTATGATTTTTTATATGTTTAACTTGTTGTAGTTTGGCTTACCAAAATGTCTAAGCAAGATGGCATCAATCGCATGTGCGATCATAAGTGTTTGGAATTTGTGTATGAGACTTGCCCTATAATAACAACAGAGCACCACGCAGTTTTGTGGATCTTGGGATAATGAATAAAAGACAAAGAATTGGAAAATAAAATTGAAAATAAAATACAAGTGAGAAGATAAAGACGTGAAATTATGCACATGACAAAAAGAAATTTGAAAACTATTCTTCAAAAATTTAAAAGGTATGTACTTACTTCCATTTCTTAATTAAACATTTTATTGCACTGTACATTGATGATGGTATCTGGAGTTAATGATATAATAGAGATAATGTAAAACAAAATATACAAATTTACCTTAAAACTTTTGATATTCATTTAGGAGGTTCTAGAGATTATGTAAATGAAATGTGAAACTGTGAGATAAGAAATAGTATTTTTAAACTCAAAATAGAAATCACATTGCATATGAACTATTCAGATTAAATAATGAATGTTTTATTATAGATAGCACAAAAAAATCAAAATTAAATATTTTATTTTTTTAAAAGTACATAATCTTCGGACCGTTCAAGTCAAATTTAAAACTGTTTCATCAACCAGTTTCATTTTTATAAAGAATTTTCATGAAAGTCGCAGTCAAAGGGTTAATATGGACATTGAATTTTTGGAAAAGACTGAAAGGAAGGCTATTAGGATGCTATCTGGTATGGAAAGAGTTTCATACAAGAATAGGTTAAGATCTCTCATAGTGTTTTCTCTTGAAAAAAAGAAGTTAAAGAGAATCTGATGGAGATATTTAAGGTTGTTAATGGAACTGACAGTGTTCATGCATCATCTTTTTTCATACTTAGTAGTACGAATGGTAAGACAAAGGGACACAATCACATGTTTTGGCAAAGTAAGTCATCTTCAACTAAGACAGTTTTATTTTTCTAACGGGGTAGTTGACTTTTGGAATCTTTTGGTGTGAGATGTGGTGGATACAGTAAATACGAGAGAGTTCAGGAGTTTAAAGGAAAGCTTCATAAATATTTAATTGCAGTTTTAATATATACAGGCATATTACCTTTCAACTTCCTGTTTTCTCTCAAGCGAGCTTTGGTAAAGAATAGCTTCTTCCAGTGGAAAAATTATTTGTTGGTATAATGATCCATCAGTCATAACAGGTTTCTGAGGGAGAAAAAGAACTTGTGATGGAGTAAAAGTAATTCTGCGTTGCAATGAACCACCAGAAATAGGCCAGAGGTTTTTTAACACTCTTAACAAGGAAGTTTTTCCACTGCTACTTGCACCCATGACAACAATATTTGTTCCTTTAACTACTGAGAAAGTCAGTCCTTCAACTAGTGGGGTATTCCCATTTGGTGGCATGTACGACACTTCAGACAACTGGAATAATGTTTCCCCATCATCTATAATCATAAATGAAACAAAAACAAATTCATATTATTTTAAAAAATCTAATTGAATAGTTATTATGAAAAGGGTTAAATGACAAGTATTAGATAAGAAAAGGTTCATGAACACAGGTATTTTGTAAAATTTATTGATAATTGTGATTTTGGATAGCCAAATACAAATTGTAGAAGAAAATGAAATAAGAACCATTTAGTAACATAATTATCTTATGTTTAATTTAACACCAATATCTACATTGCTTATAATATTTAAATTATTTGAATGTTATCATTTTTAAAAGATAGCAAGAAACATTTTGTGTAAATGTAACTTTGTTGTTTTAGAGGACAACAAGGGACTTTTTTGGTCCATTTAAGCTGTCCTATTAACTAAATTAAACCTTAAAAAAACCTCTAAGCCAGTTCTTATTATTCAAATATTTATCAAGCTTTCCCATACACTTCTTTACGTTAACTGCATCCACATCTGAAGACAACCTGTTCCAGAAGCCATCTATCTTGTTAGATGACTCCTACCATGCCAAATCTGTGTCCCCTAGTCCTACCATTCTCAGAAATAAATATGAAAATGATGCATCGACACTATCACTTCTCTTAACATCCCAATCAGTTCCCTTCAAACTCTTCATTTTTCTAGAGAAAACAAGTTCAGAGGATGCAACCTGTCCTCATATAACATTTCCATCCCATGTATCATCCTAGTAGCCCTCGTCTGAACCTTTCCAAAAATTCAATGTCCCTTATGAGTTAAGGGGTCTAAGACTCTAATACTCCAAATGTGGCCTAACCAACAACCTACAGAATGACATTATAACCTCTTCAGACTTGTATTCAATATTTTTATAGATACAGCCTAAAATCCTATTTGCCCTGCTACTAACAATGGCACATTGCTTGGATGGCTTAAGACACTGATCAGCCAAAACAAGGTCTTTATCTTCCATAACACTGTTAAGGTATTCCCATCAAAGTTATACCCATAATTCAAACTGACAACCCACGTGCATTACCTTGCATTTATTATAATTAAAACCCATCTGTCATTTATTCACCCAACTCACCAAATAATTCAAATATTTTTGTAAGGCAGTAGCATCCTCCTTAAATCCAGAAACAACAAAAACTTTGATGTCCTACTAACCATTACTTCATCTATGTCATTAATGTAAATAAAAAAAAAAGTAAATGTCCTGAAACTGAGCCCTGAGATACTCCACTCATAACATTATGCAGTTTGACTAAACTATCTATAACAACCCTTTGCTTTCTTTTATTTAGCCAGTTTTCTATCCAATGAACCAACCTATCCCCACAGCTATGGAAACAACTTTTTTAACAAGCATTTTTCATGGTACCTTGTCGAATGCTTTCTGAAAATCCAGGTACACCACACCCACAACTGTACTCTTTATCTATATCAGCTGTAACCTCTTCAAAGTTTATCAAAAGTTAATAAGGCAAGATTTCCCCTAAGTGAAACCATGCTGACTACCCAACAAAATTTTAAACCTTGTTAAATGACTTTGCAAAGCATCTTTTATCAAACTTTCAAACACCTTTCCCACCACTTATGTAAGACTAATACACCTATGATTACTGAGACAGTTTATATTATCTCTCTCTTGAAAAAGAAATAATATTAGCCAATTTGTAATCTCTTGGCACCTGCTCACTATTCACTATATTATCTGCCCCACGTATCATTCCTTAAGCTTCCCAATTGTCTTAACAAGTTCTGAATTAACATAATAATATAACAATGTTCTGAGATAACAATGGACCTATTGATCCACCTAGGCTGTCCCATCCTCTGAACTAAAATGACCCCAAAAAGTTGCACATGGAACAGCAAGTAAGTTACATTTCTCAAAAATGCTTCAAATAGAAAAAACAATTCCCCAGCTTTGTGGCAATACCTTTATAATACAGTTAATAGGCTTCATAACACAGCATTTTAAATATCAACTCAGTATTTTTAAAGAAAGTAATACACACTCAAAAATAGAAATTTTTCTTTAAAATTCAGAATATTAACAAAATATCAATGCAATTCATAACAAAAGACAATTTTTCAGTTTTATGCTAAAATCAATTTTGTAATGTTTATTTCCAAAATGTTAACATAAAGACATACAAAAATTTGCAATTTATAAAAATGTAAACAAAATCTACAAGTATTTTCTAATAATTTAAATGTAATTACAACATATATTCCAAAACATACCTTATTAAATTATTACATACCAGAATCAAGTTCACTGTTGGCTTTTAGATGGCTAACTTCATTTTGTCTTTCATTTAACATTGTCAAATATTCATGCAATTCACCTATACGGTGGGTTGTTCCTGCAATTGTTGTGAAGACTGTGGATAGATCAACTAATTGACTAAAACAAGAAATAAGGTATATAGAAACAAAAACATTTTTGCTAATCAAAGCACTAAGATCAGGTCCAGAAAGAGAGTCATATTTTCCTGCAAACAGTGGTACAGCTAAAACCATGAAACTTATTATACTACCCAAATAGTTAAAAAGATTGACTGACAGACTCAGAGGATATTGTTTGATAAATAATTGCTGTTGAACTTCAACCAGACTGGCTAATTTGTGACTAGTGTGAGAGAGTTCTGTGTGACCAGCATCTTGAAAAGCAACAGATTCTGCATAAGTTCGAAGGTGCATGTGTTTGAAACGAAAAAAGCCCTCATACTTCTCCTGTAAGAAGACTTTGTTCACAACAGGAGACATCAAAAATTTGTTAATTACTGTTCCAATGACAAAAAACAACAAAATTGCACCAGGTCCAATGATACCCGATGTTTCATACGAGGTATAACTATAGTATGCAATGGTAAATGGTGAAACAATGATGGTTGGAATTGCTGTACTTAATGCTTTGCACATTTTCTCAACATCTTGGGTTATTCTTTGGTCAGGGTTATCCAAATGACAATTCACAACATTTATTTTATAGTAGTTAAAGCCAGCAAAATATAATTTCTGAAGTTCTTGTGTCAACAACTGTCTCCATGAAACGTAAAGGACAGAAGCGGTATATTCCCTACTGCTTTTTACAAACGAAATTGCGAAAATAAGGGAAACAGCCTTAACTGTATGCAACCAAAACCCCGCCCAATTTTTTTCACCAAGCGTTTTGTAATACTCACTAGTAATAAGTCCTACTCGGTAAACAACAAACTCTTCCACAAGAGCCAAAAATAGTAAAAACAAAAACAAGAAATGCACGACTTTTCTTTGAAACAAGTACGTTATAAGTTTAAAGAGACGTCGCAAAAACTGGAGATCAAAACTGTAAAGCTCCATTCTCACGAAATTTCTTTTGGCATTTTCACATTTTTCATTAAAATGTACAGATTATAGTTTGTAAAAATACTAGTAGAGTTAATTTAATTAACTTCGGTTCTCCACTATTTCAAAGTCACTTTGACAGTTTATCAGCAAATAAACACATGACTGCCCACGAAGTCAGGTGAAAGTACAAATTTGTGTTATCACGTGGCTTTACAATTTGTACCCAACATCACTTTCGCTTTCACTGTTACTAAGAGTTAGGCGACGGCGTAGGCAACGTTTCTTCACATATTAGAAAAACAAAATCAAGTAAACCTAAGCATTTAAATCTTATCAGCTATTCAGCATTAATTAATATTACACGCTAAACTTACATCCAGTGTTAATTGTCATTTTACTTTACTCAAACCGCAATGCTTTTGCTTGGGCAACAATCAAAATTTGCATAAAGCTTTATATTTTGCTATAATACTATTGTTACGTCTCCGTTTGTTAATTGATTTTCCGTAACTTCGTTCCGACGAAAACTTAGCGACACAAGTCCTTACTTAATAAAACTGGTTTATTCTTTCTGTATATAACTTTACCGATACACTTATTTTCAACAGTCGCTCTTTTACAAACGTTTTAAAACGAACGTTAACTTCAACAATAAATACTTCCTGACAGCAGTTCAATTACTCACTTCCTACACACACTATGCCGTCACGTTGTCACCCTCTTATATATATACCAGACTACCCTATATCTAGTAATCTCCCGACTATTCCCGAAGGTTCGAGAGGTGGCGTGACACTAGTCATGTGACCTCGCTGACGCAACACTATACTTACAAATATGTAATTCGTAAAATTAATGACGGCAAAATGAATGAAAAATGTGAAAATTACAAGCATACAATTTTGCTGTATTCTTTTTTGTTTATGTTAGGGAAAATTATTTGTTTGTTTGTTATTAAGCACAAAACTACACAAAGGGCTATCTGTGATCATCCCACAATGGATATCGAAACCCGGTTTCTAGCGTTGTAAGTCCCCACACATGCCGCTGTGCCACTGGGGGGCTTTAGGAAGAAATGTTCTCATTATTTCATGTTCCATGGTGGTTCAGTAACACTGACCAACAAGTCAGTTTCATCAGATGTAATTATAGGTGGGCTAGATAGCTCTTGGGACGCTGATTCCAAATCTGTTTTTCGTTTTTCCCCTAGCACGTCAGGTTTTCGTGATGAGACCGATCAAATTTGAAAGTTTATTGCCTTAACTATAATCTAAGTTGTTGTACATTTCTTTGTTCCTAAGTGTGTACTGTATAAATTTAACCAAGTGTATGGTGTGCATAACGTTTATGGGAATTATACTGAAAAATGAATAAAGCTGTAACGTTAAATAGCCTAATGTGTGAATATTCACACCAGTCATATTTCAAGAACTAGATGTGCTAGAAGAAATCCAAAAACGGATTTAGAATCAGCGTGCAAAACTGGTCAACAAAAGTGTGCTTACATCTTTGATGAGAGTAAAAAACTTTGATTTTGTCAACCAGTGATATCAGTGATTTTGTCAACCAGGGTACACAACTGTCAGGTTTTATGTATGGGCCAGATTCTTGGAAATAGGTGTCTGTGACTTGTTGGCGATAAATTTCAACAATAAACAAACAGCCGCACAATGCACTTGTTTTAAAATGATATATTAAAACAAGTTAAACTATAAACAAATGTTCGTTACACTGTTTGTTACCACATTTGTATTCAGAGTTGTCGAAGTCCACACAGGCTGGTTTAGTTACCTTAGAACAGAATTTCGTGAGACGAATCATTATTGTGTAATCTGTTATTACAATACAATCTGTGATAATGTCACTATAAAATCACTACTATAACTGTTGGTTACCATAGTATACAGAGCTTTAAATAATTGTCTCTTTTTTATCAAAGTCCACACCGGTTGGTTCAATTACTTTAGAACACAATTTACTCTGTAATTACAATACAATCTATGATAATTCAATTTACAAATCGCCACTATACACTCTTTATGGCTAAACTCACAATCTTGCAGCCTAGATCTATTTAAATATCTATCTATCTAATTACAATTTGGATGTGTGTATTTATGATGTAATAATACTCAATTAAAAACCCGAAAAAACGTGGAATATTCCATTAACATGACGTAATAATACACCAAGCACCAATTCACAATGTATGATTCATACATAGTTACGTAAACAAACTTGTTCATGCACAAAGTCTACTCATACAGTCTGCACCAAAATTTGCAGTCCACTTGATGACTTCAATGCAGAACTGATAGTTCTGGAGGTACAATGCCCACCTCAAGATCCTTTCACTGTAGATTTTGCACCTCTGGATGTATGCAAGGGATTGATGGTTCATCTGGGTGATGAACTCCTTCCCAAAGAGGTAGTTCTGTAATTTCCAAATGGTAAGTATGATGGCCAGACACTCTTGTTCAATCACAGTAGTTCTTCTCATTACTCAACAGCTTCTTACTGACATACATTATGAGAAACAGTCTGTCTACATGTTCTTGCAGAAGTACTGTTCCAGTTTCAATGTCTGATGCATTGGCCTTAATTGATGAATAACTTGAAGTCTTAACATGTTATTCAACTTCTCTAATGCCATCTGCTATGGTTATTCTCACTTGACCTTGTTGAGTTGGCCTTTCTTGGTCAGGTCAGTCAGTGGTGCAGTGACTTCAGCATAGTTTGGGATGAACTTCCCATAATATCCTGATAACCCCAGGAAGGATCTGACTCGCTGCTTGGTCGTCAGAGTTGGTGTATCTTGCATGCATGTTAGCTTCTCCTCGTCTATGGCTATCTGTCGGTCGTCCACCTTGTGTTCAACAAAGTTCAGCACAGAATAACTGATGTAGCACTTAGATGGTCTGATGGTCAGACCTGCTGACCTCACTCACACGAACAACTCCCTGAATTTCTTCGTGTGGTCTTCCCATCTGACTGTGTGGGTCAGAATGTCATCCATATAATGCTCGATATTGGTGGTTTTGTGCACCATTTTCTTCATCATGTGGTTGAATGTCACTGTTAAGTTGACTAACCAAAGGGCAACCTCTTGAACTGGTAGCATCCATCTGGTGTCACAAAGGCTGTCTTCTCTTTGGATTCTGTCTCCATTGAGATCTGCCAATAACCTTTACTGAAGTCGATCGTGGTAAATAACTTGGCACCATCTAGTTTCACCACGATAGCCTCTGGGTAGCTTATAGGTTCGGAGTCGAACTTCGTCACGAGGCTCAGTTTCCGGAAATCTATGCAGAAGCAGTTTGAGCCATCCCTTTCAAGAAACGATATTCATAAATTGTAGTAGCATTATTCACTCGACGACAAAGAGCTGCAAAGCTCAGTGATCAAGTCGCTACAATTGCTGTATGAAACAAGAAG